GATCCGGCACCGAGTTGGATTCTTAAAAAGAACGTGAAAGCTCTGTGGTTTTCTTCAAAACCTTTTGTTTTTCTTCGTAGTGTCGGTGAATGATCGGGCAGATGTGCAGTCGCCTCCTAACGTAGGTTTGCGCCGTAGTGGACAGGTGGAAGGCGTGCGGCAGATGCACCAGAACGCTCCCCTCAGCCAAATTGCCACAGAGAGAGACCTGCAGGCCTGGAGACGGCGGGTGGTGGTGCCTGAACTGGCAACCAGCAGTTACAGGTACGAGTTCTGAGAGGACGCATCTGTTTGATGGAGAGAAAAAGTCAACGTCACATGTCAGAATATTATTTCATGAAAACCCGTGATTCCCAGGGAACAGGAAGACGTCCGGATATTCAGGGCCGACGAGGAGGTGGTTCTGTACAACACGAAGAGGAGGCGCATTATCTACAGTGGTCGGGTATGGATTCTGACATCACTTGTTTATTAACATGCAGTGTATGATGTTTCTACTGCACTCACCACAAATCAGTCTGCCAGAAATTGGGGAACCAAAGATTAATCAACCAAAATGAACAGAGTTCAAATCTCTGCTGTAGTTCAGTTTTTCTCCCTGGGAGATTTCGTTGTCCGTACAAATGTTGAGTCCAATCTGTGGTGCAGGACGATTCTGACGAAGAACCTTCAGCTACGAAGCGAGGACACGGTCGCGGTGACGCGGTGGAATATTTGGAGTTGTCCTGTGAAGAGGGAGAGGAAACTGCCAGCTCCGACATGCACAGTGAGGTAATGTGGTCAACATTCCTCTGAGATTTTATGGAAGTCCTGGGAATTCTTTTTTAAAAAATTTTTAATCATTAAATTTTCAGGAAAATGAATTAGACGGTAGTGATCTGGAGTCGTCTCATGATGAAGAGGAGTGGAACAGTGACAGCTCCAGGTAAAACAGTCACTCAGCCACAGACATATTTGGTTCAGATTGTTGTTGTTGTCCTCACTCGTCCACAGACACGGTTGGTTCAGATTGTTGTTGTTGTCGTTGTTGTTTTTAACCTTTTGTCTTGAATGTCTGTGATGAAACAGCCACACGTCCAGCGAGTACTCTGACTGGACGGCGGACGCCGGCATCAACCTTCAGCCCTCCACGCCCTTGTCGTCAAGGAAGAAACGAGTGCAGCGCCGACTGAGCACCACTGAGGAGGAGGAAGAGGAGAACGAGGAAGAGGAGGACAAGCAGCAACAGAGGCATAGTGACGAGGCGGGAATACCAGTAAAG